AAAACTTTAAGGCACCGTCCATAGAGCTGATGAGAGGCCAGGACAAAATCGACCCTCTCAAGTCTCAATTATCAGCTGTTGAGGAAAGCTGATGCATTGTGATTATTTAAACTCAAGAAGAGAGAAATTTTAACTTTGAGCTAGCTTCTCTTTCACTGATTCTCTGCTTACCAATGTGTTTGGGTATACGCAGTTATTTTCATGTGAGTGGGTACATACATATTTCACTCAATCCAAATGCTTTTTGTCTGTCTGTGTGTTTGTACGTCTTGTGTTTGTGAATGTGCACGTATATATGTATTGATCTAAGGTACCATATAGTAAGTTAGTATGAATCTTATCATCTTCGTATCTGTAGTTAAGTCGTTATTTTAATTATATTTTGCCAAATTATTTTGTAAATCTTTAAACTGGTTAATGATTAAGTGCTGCTAGTCATTAATAAATCTTGATTTGCTGCTAAATTGTTAATATTTCTATCCACAACAAACTGTAAGCTTACTATGATTTTACTATGTTTTGATGAGCTAGAGATTTTTCATAAAAGTAGAATGTATTTACAAAAAATGGCTTGGCCTCTGAGTCAGCCTAACACATAAGTATAATATATTAGAAATAAAGATATGAAGTGTTACGATCTATTAACAATTTTCCACAAGCAATTACTAACAAAACTCCCCAGTAGTTCTGACAAGTGTGTACTGTTAAAAGTCACAGACTAGGAAGTAAGCCCTTAAGTATACCAAGTGTGTAGTTGACCTATTAGCAAGCACCTTTATTTCCAGATACATATAACTATTGTTGAAAATTTAAAATATTGTCTTCATAAAACACGTTTTTGCAAACTGTGATTTAGTTAAGGCATTCTAAATTTATTAGACCATTTTCTAAACCCATGAAGTTTTATCCTGCTATTCATTTATATGGAAGGGAAGCAAGGACCTCATGGAAATTATGAAGCAATGTTGTAGCATGAATGGGAGATAGATTGATAAAGTTTAATTTCAGAAAATTAATGTACACATGCCCCTTAAAAACTCACCTTCATTTGTTGTTTCATACTGAACTACATATTCCACAATTCTGTAGGGAAGTGGTTGAGTTACCATCCCTGGAGGTATTTAAAAGACATGTAAATGTGGCACTTAAGGACATGGTTTAGTGTGGACTTGGCAGTGTTAGATTAACATTTGAACTCGATGGTCTTAAAGGTCTTTTCCAACCTAAATGATTTTATGATTCTATGACAATTTACCTCAAGCAACAGCTGACTATTTTAATGCATTACAGAAAGTCACAAGACTTTGCAGGATCAAAGCTTCCTCTCCAGTGCAATTTGCTCCCCGCTGTGTGCATAAAGAGGCATCAAGAAGTTAAAGGTGGCTTTATACTGTACATGTTTGTCCCAGAAATCTGATGTATCATGCAACATGCAAGAGCACAGAAAGGCAAATAACAGCAGACCAAAAATCAGACAAAATAAATGCTGATCTGGACAATCCCACTGGTTGTCACCTGTGCACATCCCACAGGATCGGCATGGATATCCCATGGATCCCCATGGTTAGCACCATCACTGTGCTTTGTGTACCAAACTGTCCTGGTTCAGCTAGGATAGGGTTAAGTTTCCCCAGCAGAGAGGGGGAAGGGATCTCCAGGCGGGTTATTCATACCATGCTGACATCAGGTCCGGGCATGGGAGCGGGGGAGCTTTTTCCTGTGTGGCTTTGGTGGCAGGGAGCATCGCGAGCAAGCTGTCTGTAACCACTGTGGTATTTCTCTGTATATCTTTTGTCTTGTTCACTGTTATTGCTGTTTATTGTTGTTATCATTGCTACTGTTGTTGTTCAGATTGCTTATTACACTGTTGTATTAAATTTCTTCTTATTTTAACCCGGGGTTTGTGCCTCACTGCCAGCCTGACTGGCTGAGGGTGGGGCAGGGACAACGGCAACGTGGTCTCCAGTCCTGGCAGGGCTTAAAACCAACACACAAACATATACTACAAAACAGGTAAGATAAACTCTCATCATTTATATAGCACTTCAGTGACCCACAACTCTGGTTCTTCATATAATACGATATAAAAAGTTCCTTAGAAGTACCTTCAAATTTTCAAGGTTCTTCATGGAGATGGTCCATAGCCAAAGCGAATTGCCACAATGATGACATCCATTACCATAATGATTTTCTCCAGAAATTTCTCAGCCTAAAGGACTGTTTGTGAGAGCAAGAGACACTTTATGCCAAAAAAACCCAAATCAAAGCATTGTAACATATAATTGGAAAAATTGAAAAAAAAACACCCTAATCTTACAGCCTATTCGCAAAATTAAGATCCTTGTTCCGACTTTGTTATTTTACAATAGTAGAAAACAGAACAGATGGAAAAAATGAGGTAAAGAAAGAAGGAAGAGGAAGGAAGTGAAAATGACAGTCCTCAAAATCTTTTGATTGAGTTGAAATAGGGAGGGAAAACCTGGGTATTTGTAGCATTTAGCTGTAGGTAGAGGAATTACCACCCTGACATTACATTTTTCTATCTGCTTACCAATTTGCTAGTTTTAGGGTTGCTCAGTTATGACATGGGCTGTTATTCAAGTCAAAACTGAGCTGGAAGGATTCACGTGGCTCTATGCCAACCTATCTGTAGCAGACAGGGGAATCAGCTGTTTTTAGCAACCATATAGTATTGCTTTTTAGTTTTCTTTTTTTTAAAGTTACAAAGCAGTTATACAGAGTGCATCTTTTATTCATGATACGCCAAAGATGTGAATAAAGCTTAACTTCATTCCTTCAGAGGTTGAAATACTCACTGTGCAAAATGGCTGTATGACACTCCTGAATTTTGACTGTGAAGTAACTTGTCTCCTGGGGATTTCATTAACGTCATCAATCATGATGAATGTTTCTCGTCTTTCTTTTGATACAAAAAATTAATTCAGTATGTGTACACTGTGGAGAAATAGAAGGTAAGCATTTCCATAATTCATCTAAAGATGCCTGTCACGTAAGCTTGAATGTAGTTTTCTAGTGTATTTCATTTCTAAGAGGGACTCAGGACAATTTAGTGAAGAGTATTCAAATGTAAAACTGGATTCCCAAAGGATACGCTTGAGTCAAAAATAATTTTATCTATCCAAACTGTAAGTAATGAACAAATGATTCCATGAAACACATTCCATATTTCCATTCACCACCATCTGTTATTGGCAAGATATTTTGTTCCCAACTACAAAGACTGAGCAAGAGCATAAGCACCAAATTAAGGGAGAAAAGTGAATGTTGTAAATGCTGTAAGGAAGAAGTATGGCTGCTTTTCACAGAAACGTGTATTTGCACTTCAATGGCTAGCAGAATTTAACATTTACCAGAAATGGGGGAATGGGACATTGATATCCAAAAAAATGTCCAAGACAAGCAAAGTTGCTTTGGTTTTGGCATGAAATTCCCTTTCATTGCAGGGAGTAGCACTCTGAGCTACATGACCAAGTCTTTTCCACGTGTTTTTAAGACCATCCATACCTTCTTTGGGGGATCCTTTCATTTCATTTCATTTCATTTCATTTCATTTCATTTCATTTCATTTCATTTCATTTCATTTCATGCAGTAAAAATCAAATGGGAACTATATTCAACAACAACAAGTGGTGTTGCTGATAGATAGCATCCTTCCCTCAAAGGTATTCTCAGCAAGTTAAAATGAGACTGTACTCCTACATATAATTCCATTTGGACACATGTATAAAAAAGGTCTTGACTAGAATATGGCAACAGACAGCAGGATGCTTCCTTGTGAATTTAGGAAGAGGGTTGGGGTTTTGTCAGTTTCATACAATTTCAAATCCTTCTTTCCATAAAGATATTAAAACTATAATAGTTAAGCAGAAGTGTGGAAAAAACTTCAAAAGGCAGACTCATAGACTTGCTAAACTACATGGAAGGAGAGAAAAAAAGATGTGATTCACAGCCCTGTGTTCAAAAACCTTTATTCTATTGTGCAGGCAGTAGCTGTGGTTGCTTTAATATTAGTAGCTACAAAAATGCTTTACAAACATTATTTACTAAAGCAAGTACTAATACTTTCCACCTACACAAGAAAACTACATAGTCAAATTCCACCCACTTGGTGAGCTGGTAGGAAGCACTGTGACCTCCACCTATTAATTTTATATATTTTGTAACATAGGAATGAGAGTCCTTCCATGCATCCTGCTGTCATGGTGGTGTAAGAAATCAGACAAGCCCAGACTATGGTATTTCACAGTATAATTCAGGATTTTTTTTAGACTTTGACATTTCTGTCATTTAATTTGAGACACCAAATAAATATCAAAAAAGTGATATTATTTGAAACAAGCCACTTCCTGTGGGAAGTCAAGAACTTGGAAGATATGGCTGGAACCTGCATCTATTATGCTTAATAATTTAAAGTCAATCTGCCACAGCCAATATTGCATTTATGAGCAGTTTAAAATGCATACACATTAGTAATGACTAGTTAAAACCAGCAATTATTAGCTATCATATGCGTTATAACCTTTATGAACTATACTTATGGATAATTTATCTTAAAAGCTTTTTTTTTTTTTTCTTCCTTAGTGTGTATGCAGGTTAATAGACCATTTAATTTTTACTGTCTAATATATATGTAATTGTAAATTCCAGCTATATGTGGAATATCTGGAATTCAAGTAGTTTACTTTAGCCTTATGTTTACTTTACCTGCTCTGTCCTTTAGTTTCAGCTTACATACAAATCTTTTATAACAAACTACTTAATAAGAAATGAGAGCTTAAGAATGAATTTCAGCAATATGTTTGAAGATTTCTATTTTTCTAGTGTCCTGGGTTCAGCTAGGATATGGCTGATATTCACAAGAAGCTGGGAGGGGACAGAGCCAGGACAGGCAACTCAAATTAGCCAATTTGACCCCATGCTCAGTGTATAACTTGAGGAGGTGGCCAGGGGAAAGGGGGAGGGGGTAGTGGTGGTGGGAGGTATAGGGGTGTGAATGTGATCATGGCTCAGAATGGGGCTGAATTTGTGGTACCAGGTGGTCAGCTTGCCTTGGGCATCACACACTTTGTATACTCATTTTATTTGTATGTTGTTATTGTTTTTTTTCTTCTCGTGTTCTATTAAACTGTTCTTATCTCAACCCATGAGGCTTTACTTTTTGTTTTCTTCTGATTCTCCTCATCATCATACGGGAAGAATGAATGAGTGAGCATCCACACGGTGCTTTGTTGCCAGCAGGGCCTAAAAAATGACACAGGAGAATCAGTTACCTGAGCCAGACTATAATTAAGATGATCCCTTTAATAGGACACTAGAATCAAGTTCAAAATTGCAGTTGTCATTTCATTCATTTTAATAAAGAAAAAATACGGCTTCTGTAACTATTATTTTCTACCATAAGGTTAAGGGTAATGAAGAGGAATACTCCAAGACTTTGCTTTTCTTAGACGACTTGCAACCCATCCTAAAAATGCCTCAGCTTTATGGTCTTGCCCCAGATATAGCTAATGGAGTGAGACAGTGCAGGAATTCCTGAACCATAATTAATAATGCTATTAACATGCTGTAGAGCAGATCAATGAATACACAGTCATGGTAGGTACTAAAAAGGTCTTCAAAAAAACCCAGAAGTAATTTGGACATTAGGAGGAAAAAAAAATATATTCAGGACTCTGTGTAATGAATTTATAAAACTGTCAACAAACTGGAACAGAAAAGTCAGTTCCTCAGATCAGAAGAGGCAAGAGGAATGACTGAAAACATGTCCAGTTTTAAATGCCATTATGACCATAAATGAAACAGCTCAAGAAAGTGTTCAGAAAAGATTAAGTACACAGAATACTTTTGGAGACAGCACTCTTGCTACTTGATAAGGCTATACATCAGAGCAGGTTAAATGTAACTGGTAGAGAGAGCCTGAGGAGAAATATAAAGATTGTCCTAGAAAGGCAGAAATGTTGGAAAGCGTGCTTAACCAAAAATACTGAGCAAATGGTATCAAGTTTGGATACCTGGAGAATTCAGCCTAATCTTTGAGAAACACAGGTCGAGGTCTAGCTGGGAAAAAAAGAGATTTATTATGCACCCCAATCAAATGGAATTAAATTACATCTGTGTCTAAAATTACATCTATGAAAGCCCAGTGGTAGATTAAAGATATTGGTTACACTTCATTGTCTTTGTTAGCAGTGCCCTGTTTCCATGTGGCTGGAACGGGTTTTATCCACTCTGTTCAGTCATGCTTTAAATCACAGAAGTTATAATATATATACACCTTTCAAAAAGCACAAACATGGACTCATTTCTTATTTCACATATATCAGAATGAAGTGGTTTATTTGCTCTAATGTTAGGACAGCCCCCCCCACAAGTTTTACCTAACTGAGCTTGACCAAACATCATACAGATAGATACTTGCATGGAAAAAAGACAAATAAAAATAAGTGGGCTAAATTTTTCAATAACTGTCAGAATGGTGGGGATAACAGTAATGAACAGAGAATAAGTTTGGAAACATCAAGTCAGGTGATAGAATTATTAATTCAGCAGTATGGGTATAGCACCTCAGTTAAGGCATCTCCTGTTGCTATCCATACAATTTTTGGCATTTTTTTAGGTGATGAGTGTTAAACATGAAACATACCATGTAGCTAGAAGGGTTTGAAAGTAGTTTTCAGTGCTATGAAGTCCTCTTAAAAGTGTGTGGTTTCTTCACTGTGACTTACTTTACCTTTTCAACTTCAACAGTCCGCTGTACCACACCAATAATCCAGCAAATATTTTGCAGGTGACAGGCCCAAAGGCATGAGGTATTTTAGTAATTAATTTTAATCTGAAAATGCTCACATTAAAGTGAATTTCACTGTTATTAATACCTCAATAGTCTGAAATCGTGTGTCCAGAAAATAGTAATATAACCTTGCTACCAGGGGACAAACTCACTGATGAAAATGTAAATTCACTATAACTCACATTCAAGCCTTAGCCTTCTGAGTCAAGTAGTGGTGCTAAATTTTATATTGAAACTGTTGCAATTGAAAGTATCTGCTTATTTCATAGTTGGTAATTTATCACTATCCATGTGAACTGAATTTGAAACAACGAGACATAGTGGAAGAGATACACTTGACCTTATTTTTTAATTGAACTACAGTATACAAATACAAGTCCCTGTGTGAGAAAGTATATAAATGCACTAAAATAAAATAAACTTAAAGTGCAAAGTTCATAACTATTCTACCCAAAAAGCAGAGGATGACAGATCACCAAATATCAGAAGTATTGCTCAGGCAATAAACACTAAGACAAGCATTAGTATAGTCACCTATAGTCCATCTGAGGACTTGATGATTAATTAATTCTATGATCAGAAGCAACAAAAAGCAGAATCCTTTTTAAAAAGACCAAAACAAAACAAAAAATCAACTGTGTTTTAAACAGTACATTTTAAAACTTATCTAGAAATGCAAAGTGAAATGTAATAGTGAATACTTAATGCTGCACACCACTATTTGTACTGCCACATCATATAAACTGATCTAAGAAGCCACTGACTGCTTTCATCCAGAAAGAAAATCTCATTAGACCACTTTAAAGAACAAAGCACAAATTTGCTTGACCAACTCCTAGACTATATTTCAGCTTTCATGCCTCAGCTCAGTTCCTCGTTTTTCTTGCAACAAAACCAGAAACCAAACAAAACCTAAAATTTTAGTTTCATGGTTACTTCTCAGATTACCTAAATCCACCTAAAAAGATTTAATCCCTGATAGTACCTCCACATTTTTCCATGTGCCACCTATATTTAAATTCTATATGGAGGACTGTGAGATCAAGAAGACAGGGTAGCCTCACAAAGAAACATACATTATAGTTACTGCAATAGCCCTTTACAGCCATACAGAGCTCACTGAAACATGCAAGGAAGCAAATTATACAGTGTAGAGAATTTGCCAAAGTGCACTTTGCTTCCTTGCCTCCCCCTCAAGTTCAGCCATTGTTCTAATTTCACAGCAAAAAGTTTGTACTATTGTTTTAGGCTATGTATTGTTTGTCAGCTGGAAATTGAGCATTTACTGTTCAATTATTATGTCAGCCAATTAGCAGATCACCTAAGACACACATATGAAGGTCTGATGAAACCATAGTTAATGCCTCAAACATCCAATAAAGAATACTGGTAAAGAAGACGGTCTCTGTGAATACACTGGGGTTGTGCAGGTAACAGCAGGAAGATGTGGGGAGCGGAAAAGGTCCCACAGAGGTGGGACCACACTTTTCTGAGGGTGAACTTCCCCATCTTGAGCAACTCTGTAAAAACAAGCTGTTTTCACAATGCATGCATCAAAAAAAGAAAGGTCAGACAACAGTCATACCTGCAAAGAGAGGGGAGTAACTCCCCAATGACCCCCAAGCTCACCAACACATTTCTAGAAGAATCTGAAGGTATAAACTACACGTGCACCAAAGCAAAGAGAATTTGAGAAGAATAGACTGAGCATAATGCCTAATTAGCCTAATAAGTTCCTGCCTGGAGGAGGGGCAAGGAATTCTAGAAGTACACACATCAAAGCCCCAGGCGGCAGCACCCCTCCGGAACATGCATCCCTATGCTGGCTGGACTAACGCTGCAACCAGGACTAGTGAAATCTTACTTTTTTGTCTTTCTGTCTCCCTCCCCATTTGTCTCATTCTCTTTTTCTCTCTTTCTCTCCTTTTCTCTCCCATTGTCTATCCCTGTATCCCTGCGTATAGGGCAAAGTTTATTGGGGCATGTTATAAGATCTGCTGCTTGTTGGCATATGTAGTGAGGTTTGTGCTTTGTTGGTGCAGGTTATATGATTAACTGCTTATTGCAGAAATTCAAGGATTACTGTCAAAGTTTCATGCCAATAAAAACTGAGTTTCATGAACTGAAGAATCCTTGATGTTGTTTCACCGTAAGCCTGACCTGGGAATCAGCAAATCTCAGTTGTCTTCCCAAGAAACTGGGATGTCACAACATGGCATTTGTCTATTTGAATGAATGAACTTGTTTAGTGTAAGAAATTTATTAGCTTTTTATAACAGTGTGTTACTTGCAAATACTTGCATCTACTTACCATATCTGTGAATAAACCAAAAAACCTTCACATATAGTCCAAAAAGGCATTCCAGGGCCATTTCTTCCACAACTGCTCATTCATACATTGTGGGTTTGTATTCTGCTAATGGTTTAATGAACAAAAGCTGATCCCCCAAATGCCTGGATGCAACAATTGTTGCATGAGACATAACACCCACATGGTCCAGTATGCCATCACTGACAAAAATCAGTAACACATGCATGCAGAAAGCAGAAAATAAATGGCTCATTTGCCATGCCCTCCAAGCTTCACATAACCAGTGATTCACAGATAGACAGAAAGTTACACAGAGTGCTTAATAGTCATGCATGCACAAAAAGGGGTTTAAACATTTTAGTGGAGGAGTATTACCCTTTTTGATCTCCACAAACCTGTGTCTAGGAGCTCACCATTTGTACAACTCTGATGTGAAAAATTCTACCCTTTGTCTAATTTAGTCTAAGCCTGTTGCCTAATTTTTCCAATGTTTTTCTTTGTTCTGTATTGTGCGAAATCCCCAAATATTTATCCTGTTTTTTCCATATCATTTATGATTTTAGGGACCTGTATAATGAAGTCAGTAAATTATCAAGGATAACGCAAAGATGCTGTGAAAGAAGCATATAGATAATAAACATAAGTAATGCAGTGTAGCAAAGAATAAGGTGTGCACAGAGGTAGCCAGTGACTCATGGTCCACAACTTTATGTTTTGGATGAAGCAAAATTAATGCACTGTAAAACAGAAAACACAAACAAATGCAAAATTCCCTTGCAAATACATCCTTTGAACATTACTGTGTACTCCAGGTAATAATCTGAGTACCATTTAAAACACTGGGGCTTGGCTGTACAATGACGTTTACATTCTGGTTCCCTACTGCTCAAAGCAGTTTTTGCTTCCAGATTTTCACAATGAGACAAGACCATATACAGAAATTAAGTAGAATTTGCACACTGATTTCTTCCTTTTAGGGGCTGTGTTACTGAGTACCAATGAGATAAGCAATGCCTTCAAACACTATTTTCAGAACTACAGAAGTCTAGACTGGAAGGAACCTCTGGAGATCCTCTGGTTCAGCCTTCTCCTGAAAGCTGAGCTTTATATAAGATGTTCTAGGGCTCTGTTAAACCAGGTCTTGACTCTCCCAGATTCCACCACTTCTTTGGGTGGTCTACTCCAATGTTTAACTGTTCTCAGTGAAAAATATTTTTTTACATACAGACACAGTTTCCCCTGAAGCAACTCAAGCCTGTTGCCTCTTGTCCTGTCATCCTGTACTCTTCTGAAGAGAGTACCTCCATTTTCTCTATCACTAAACTTGTAGGTATTGGAAGATTACAATTAGGTTCTATCTCAGTGACCCTCCACTAGAGCCTTTCCAGTTTTTCAGTGTTTCTCTTCAGCTGGAGGGGACCAAACCTGGACACAGTTTTCCAGGTGTGGTCAAAGAACTGCCAGGTGGTGGGGATCATCACATTCCTGCATCTCCTGGCTATGTCCCTGCTCCTACAACACTGGGTGTTTCTTCTGCCAGGCCCAGGGTGGCTCCTGTGCAGCTTGTTGTCCCCCAGGGTACCAGGGACTTTTCTGCAGAGCTGCTGCCCAGGCAGGCAGTGCCCAGCCTGGATGGATGCTCAGAATTATTCCATCCTGGTACATGACCTTACATTTATCTTTGTTAAGCCTTGTGCAAGTCCCAAGGTTAAACTCTGCACCCCTTTTCTTAATATAAGACTAAATTAACTGGGTTTAGAGGTGGCTAAAGTAAATCGCCTGCCACCTGTTTCAGAGAAATAAATGTTGACATTATAATAAGAGTGCCTGCCTGCTCCTTAAGAATCACACAATTTTATCTTTTTGCCGTTCTTCATGACAGGTCAGCCAAGTCACAGCACGTTATGTACAACACTTTTATATCTCAGGCTGAGCATCTCTGAGGTGCAGCTTATTGAAACATAGGATGTGATAACAGAAACCATTGCCCTTTTAAAGTATCCAGCATGTATATATGGTAGTGTTCAACTTCTTTCATCCAAAGATGAAAAGATAAAAGAATATTGCCTGAGTCCATGTAAGCATTAACAAACCTAAGATTTTTTCCTTTAATATTGTAATATTAGAATCAGACATCTCCCCTCCACATAATCCAAAAGTAAACCAGAACAACAACATAATTCTTTTTTTTCACTGCTCCTTCCTCTCCTTTGAAGAACAGTTTTCCACATGGGAGATAAAATAAAGCTATAATTATCACTGGGGGGAACAACTGCCCTTTTCGTTCGTTTGTTTGTTTTGAGTTTGAGACTGATTTTTCAATTAGAAAGTTAGTGACCTTATCAGTATACTAATTTTTTACTATTTTCCATTTTTTACCTTTAAAAGGCATGAAAGGAGTTTCACACAGCATAGGTAAGTGGTGAAATTTGCAACAGGATATCATGGATGCTGAAACTGGAAGAGAAGTCTATAAAGTATGCAGACACTAAGCCTCTTACTCAAAACCCTTTTATTTCAGTGCTGGGAGACAAAGTAATTAAAAAAAAAAAAAAAAATCCTTGTTCTTTCAGCCTGCCCTAGTAATTCACATTTGGCCACTGTCAGAGTTCTGAGCTGAATGATTGCATCTCTTAGTTTATTAATGGGCTCCCCTTTGTTTTTATGATTTTGTGCTATTGGTAAAAAATTGAAACAGACAAACTGCAGCCTATAAAGACATTCATACTTCCTGTAGCTGTATCTCAAAAGGCAGAGTCAAACAGAGATTTCCCTCAGTATTAATGTATGGTCCAAAACCTACAAATGGTGGCCACATCAAGAGAAAAATTTCTCTCTGCTCACTGAATCTAACATAGTAGTCAAATACAGGTTGAATTTAAATATGGGTATGGGTTTGCTAGTTCAGAACTTGGAAACTACATAAATAGTTCTCTTAATATCACGCACTTTTGTTTCACTTCAGAAATTGCTTGGAGTGGGATTATGTCAAAATTATTACTATGAAATACATCTCTCTCATTTGGAAATACTATTTATACAGAATGCCAGAGCTCAATAGGCTTAGAAAATCTACTGATTTCTCTAACACAGGATGACAGAACTTCTCCAGCACCTTGCTATTTTCAAAATCAGGTCCTATTAAAATTCTGATAGTTTAGTGACTAAATTGAGCTCTTTCAAGATGAGCTCTTCAGTCTGAATTGAAATTATGTATTTTCATAATTTATCTGGGTACTTGCTGGGCATATGAACGGAATCCAAGCATTTTTGTCTCTTGTACTCATAACAATTTGCTTTATGAATGCACTAATAAATTAAGGCTGTATTGTAAAAGGTTCATATTTTGTTTTCCTTTTATGATAAATGGAGCTCCATAAGGAAAATTATTTTATTTTCAGTACGATATAAGATTAACAAAGACCTCTCCCTTTCAGGAAAAAATATAACAGAATAACATGATTTGAAATTGTGCCTGGTGCAGATGATGATCACACTGACATAATAGCTTCAGAGTTATGGAATAAATTTATTGGGGTGTAATGTTCCAGCAAAATAAAATTTCAAATGCTAGATTTCATCGACAGTTGTGGCTCCAAGACTACTCTTTCAAACTGAACAATTATCATAACGATTTTACTAAATGTTTTGAAACTTGTTTTGAGGAAAGCAAAATATCAAAAATATAAGGAAGTAACAAATTATTTCCATGGTAGTATATAAAATCTAGCATCATCTCCAATTAAATATTGCGAAGTGGTTCAAATTCTAGAAGGCAAACTGACACATGAAAGTATCTGATTACTAAGTCTGAAAAGTTAATTTATAATATTAAATGTTTTGAAAGTAAAAAGTCTGGGAGACTATACAGATCAGATGCAAATAGTCCTGTACTACTAGTTATTATTTTAGAGTCTAGTAACATTATTGATTCCATCATTCAGTCAAAAGCCATGAAGTTGCAGAATTTTCCTTCAAATCATAGAATCATTTAGGTTGGAAAACACATTGAAGGTCATTGAGTCTAAACATAAATTTAACACTGCCAAGTCTACCACTAAACTGTGTCCCTAAGCACCACATGCACATGGCTTTTAAATACCTCCAGGGATACTGAATCAAACACTTCCCTGGGGAGCCTCTTCCAATGTTTGACAACCCTTTGGTGAAGAAATTTTTCCTAATATTCAATTTAAAACCCACCCTGGCGCAACTTGACGCCTTTTCCTCTTGTTACTTGGGAGAAGAGACCGACACCCAACTCTCTATATTATCCTTTCAGGTTGATGTAGGAAGAGATTAAGTCTCCCCTCAGTCTCTCTTTCTCCAGGCTAAACAACCCCAGTTCCATCAGCATCTCCTTGTAACACGTACTCTAGACCCTTCAGCTTTGTTGCCCTTCTCTGGACACACTCCAGCACCTCAATGTCTTTCTTCTAGTGAGGGGCCCAAAACTGAACACAGTAATTGAGGTACAGCCTCAAGGTGCGGCGGACAATCGCTTCCCTGTCCCTGCTGGCCACGCTAGTGCTGACACAAGCCAGGATGCCATTGGCCTTATTGGCCACCTGGACACACTGCTGGCTCCTGTTCAGCCAGCTGCCAACCTACACCCCCAAGTCCTTCTCTGCCAGGCAACTTTCCAGCCACTCTTCCCCAGGCCTGTAGCGCTGCTGGGAGTTGTTTTGACCCAAGGGCAGGACCCAGCACTCAGCCTTATTGAACTTCATACAATTGGTCTTTGGTCTCAGTGCATCGCTCCAGCCCGTCCAGGTCTCTCTGCAGAGCCTCCCTACTCCTGTGCAGATCAACACTCCCACCCAACTGGGGTCATCTGCAAACTGACTGAGGGTGCACTCGATCCCCTCTTCCAGGTGGCTAATAAAGGTATTAAACAGAACTGACCCCAATACTGAGCCCCAGGGAACACCATGCCTGACTGGCTGCCAGCTGGATTTAACCTCATTCACCACAAATTTTTGGGCCTGGTTATCCAGCCAGTTTTTTTATCCATCTAAGAGTTCACGCATCCAAGCCATGAGCAGCCAGTTTCTCCAGGAGAATGCTGTGGGAAACGGTGTCCGAGGCTCTACTAAAGTCTAGGTAGACACATCTACAGCCTTTCCTTCATTCACTAAGTGGGTCACCTTGTCATAAAAAGAAATGAGTTTGGTCAAGCAGCATCTGTCTTTCATAAACCCATGCTGACTGAGCCTGATGTGCTTTTCCTGTACATGCCACATAATGGCAGTCAGGATGATCTTCTCCATAACCAGTAAATTCTCACCTATGCAAATTCTCCTATAACACTACAGAAATGAGGCAACATTGTAACAATTTTCTTCCCTGCAGTTTATTTTACTCTCACCTCAGGTCCTTGCAGTTCCCCAGGAACCACATTTCTCTCTGCAAATAAATATGTGCTGTTTCATCAGTATAAACTAGGTATTTTAAGCATGATGATTGTTTAGCTACAGAAGGCACTATGTAATTAATATAAATTAATATATGTAAATTTAAGCCTAAACAAAACCTGGTTTTGGCTATATATATTTTCTCTTTCTAAATAGGATAATCAGGATTAGACATAAAGAATAATAATCAAGTTTTATATCTAATATACTGTATTCAATATTTCATTACAATCTTCATTATGTAAGGTTTAATATGAACACAGGATCCTTATTATCTCTCCCTCTTCCAATCTTATTTTCTGATTTGCTTTTCTAATGCACAACTATATTTTGGGCAAATAATTTCATGGACTTATGCACAGATCCTTTTTCCTTTAAAATGTACGGTTAATTTAGAATGCCCCCACAAGGTATGTTTGCAGTTATAATTGTTACAATTATCCCTTTTATTTTGCATTAGCTTGCACTAACTATAGTCAGTCTCATCTGTCATTCTGCCTCCCAGGCACCTAACTTTGTTATGCTCCTTGAGTCCTTCATAGCCTTCTCTTCTCCAGCAGTCACAAGTGGTTCATGTCCTTTAATCACATGAGCTAAACATCATTCAAGTAGTCTGAGGAGAGGGAGAGAAGTAGATTCCTTGTCTTTTGACCTTTTTTTGGTAAATATAAAATTGGCTAGTATGAAGAAATATATAATTTTTCCTATCATATTTGTCATTTAATATAAAAGTACAGCTGGCTGAAAAGGTCTTTACAGTCCTGTCCTATTTGGGATATTTTTCCCTAGTTTAGATGTTAATGCTTCCTGTTCACCTGAATTTTAGCAACCAGCATGAGCAGTGATGAAGTTTCCATACACCTGGAGTTTGTTCCACTGCCATCACCATCATCCCATAGTACTGAGCACCACATGGTGTCAGGGAAGCACCAGCTGCATGCCCCTATACACAGAAAAAGTATCTAATAAAAAGATAATAATCTCCTTGTTTACTGTGACAGTTACCAATTCACAAATGGAGCATGTCACTTCATATACATAGGGCAGACTCACAAACAAGCACCAGAGAGAGAACAGGGTGCATGAGATTGGTGAAGAGAGCTTTGTTAGTAGCGACAGCCACAAGAGGAAGCACATGTGATTACTGCTTGTTAACAGTTTGGTCTTTACGGCATAAGATATATCGACCGGTGTTACAATCCTGTAATGTGTAGCCTACACATTAACAGAGAAGTCATGACTTGATTTTGTTAAGCTGCGGGTATGCCTGCCCACAAAATAAGAGTGATTTCTTTGCTCAGATTGTCATGAACTGGTGCAAAAACCTGAATGTTTATTTGGGAAAAAAAGAAACAAACAAACAACAATCTAAACAGATTCAAGCAGACAAGAAATATTAAGAGAGCTTTCGGAAATGCAAGGTAATTCCTATACCTAGGAAAATGTTTAGACATGTAATCACATTCATCTTTAAAATAAAATAAAAGAAAATAAAAGACTGGCACTCATCTCATGATCATATTGAAAAACAGGATAATCACACACACACACACAAAAAAATGT